CTGTGTGAGGCTAATGTCAAACTGATTATTCTTCAGGTTAAAAAAAAAAAAAAGAAAAAAAATCAGAGGAGAATAAAGAGTTCACCGAAATGTGAGAATGGCCAATTCTTTAAGAGGTGAAGTGTTGAATCTATACAAAAACGTAAGTGTCTTAAACACCACAAGCACTTTCCTTAACCAAACAAAACCCTTTTACTGCACACTCGATCTATAAAAAAAAAAATCTTTTTTTTTTTTTCAAGCTGCTGTACCTTGGAAGGGAGTATCCCAAAGGAGCAGACTACTTTAGAAGCCGTTTGAAAGCAGCTTTTCTAAAAAATAAAGATGTGAAAGATCCTGAAAAAATTAAGCAGCTAATTGCACGGGGAGAATTTGTTATAAAAGAGTTGGAGGCTTTGTACTTTCTCAGAAAATACAGAGCTCTGAAACAGCGCTACTACAGTGACGACAATCAATAACTGGTATTAATGACTTTGCATGTAACGATACAAATCTATAAAAATAAACAATAAAAGAGCTGTGACCTTAGAAGAAATGAAACTTAAATCCTTCCAACCCATCTAAAGTACAAATTAGGACTTTGCTTCCCCTGAAGTAGTCGCTTGAAGGATTTGGGGTTCGTATTATATCGGTAATGTTTTTCTTCCTCACTATTTTTGACCTCTTTAAAGTAAAGCTTCACGTGTGAAACAATTTTGCAGGAAATAGTGGTAATATAATTCTGTTTTGTTTCACTTGGATATGCATGTTGAACGATAGCACTTCTTACCTGAGAGCTGTGTTTGAATGCTGATTCAAGGTGCTACACTTCTCGTTACTTAGAACATTATTCTGATTTTGAAAGTCTTCCACATCTAATGATTCATTTCCACCGTTAAATGAGCACCTTCCCAAAAGTAAAGCAAATTGTTAAAGATTTTTAACTATACTTGCTTAACATGCAAGAGTCATGTTGGCAGGCTGGCAGAGGCGCCGTCTTCAGGCAATAGAAAGAGAACTGCGGGGTCAGGAAAAGGGGCGAGTTTGAACAATAGTGGTTTAAGCAGTTAGACCCTGAAGACAATTCCTGCTACTACTGATTTCTGATATTGTGTAACTGTTGTAGCAGGGATAGAGAACTTGATCCTTTCCCCTGGAAGAGAAGTTTGACCGTGGTTGTTTGCTCCATGGCTAACTCTGTAGACCTTGGCTGGAGTAGCACAAACCTGTGCCAGAGCCAATACTTGGTTGGTTGGTGCTTCCACTCCCCCCCAAAAAACTACACAACACTGGAGACAGAACATAAATAATCTTTGAAATATAGATAAGTGATCACTGCAGTAGAACTGTTGGCAATAGCAAGTCTTCACACATGTAAATTCCAGAATAGAATAATTTAAAAAAAAAAAAAAAGGCAAATTAGACAGTAAATTACCTCGTGATGAAATGTATGTGCTTCAATAGCACCACACTGATGTGAGAAACAGTCCTTCCACATTAGCTTAACTCTTCTACACCATGTTGCAGTTAAACACGTTCTAAATGAATACCTCTATGTACAAAATTTAACCCACCTGCCATTAACTGATAAAAGATTACCCAGACATGGTAACAGAGGGCCAAAGCGTAAATTTATAGAACAGCAGCAGTTTCACGCTTTTTTCCCCCCCTCATAGGACACAATTGATACTAAAAAATGTCTTTTGTATTTTCTATAAGCTTATGGAAGGCATTTGATGGAAGAAAACACGTGTGCACCTGGGAATGAACACAGAATAGTTATTCAGAGTATTTTAAACTTGTAGACTAATTCACATCAAGTCTGCTGTTAGATTGATGAAAACAAGGTGTCTGGGGCGTGACTGGAGGTGGTAGAGCCCGAGCATCACGCAGCCGTGAGCAAGGAGCACCTGAGGTGAGGCTCTGCTCCTTGCAGAGCACAGGATGCAAGAGCAGAACAGACCGAAGGCGGATCAGTACGGTAATGCATTGTATCCAAGCGGCAGCACCCCTTCTCAGGGGAAGGGAACACCCATGGGCAAAGACAACAGCTGTGAGAAGACACGCACCGAGAAGTACAAGAAATAAACCGAGAACAACTGCCAAACACACGCGATTCATGGGACACACTGTTATAGAGATGAGGCACTGAAATTCTTGAAGAGATAAAGCAAACCAGGACAAAAATTCACAATAACTATTTTTTATTACATTACAATAAATAGGAGCAGTACAGTTTGACAAAAAAATGACAAATTCCAGATCACCTCACAGCACGTACTCCTAAAAACATTAAAAATTTTAAAACAAACAGTGGTCTTTTTTTTTTTTTTTTAACTTAATGTCTGGTATGACCAACATTCCTAGGTCACGCAACCAAATGATGGAAAAACTGGATCACACTGCATATGTTCCACATCAAATAAAGCACAATGTACAAAATGTGCATGTTTCAGTTTACACTATACAAAAATAGTTAAAATACATTCCAGGTAAACATATTACATTAAGAAGTCATTCTAGTAAGAAGTTGGCACTCAAGAGGAAAAAGCAGAAGTATTTTCAACATGAAAACACAAGACAGTGGAATAAAGAAATGTTAGGAAAGATTTACCATCTATGTAGCTTTATGTAAACTTGAGACAAAATGATTTCTTTACAGTTTGATGGTCTTTGAAGGTAACAATTGTATTGCTTCATAGTATAGACGAGAGCAGAAGATTGTGTGTCAGTACCTACTCATTACAGAGATCCTGTTACTGTAACAAAAATCTATACAGTGAAACTTTTTTAAAATTAGCAAAAATTTTAGGGCAACGAGACTGGTCAAAAGAATTAAACTTCAGTTTTGAGAAAACCAATGATAAAAGTTGTTTACTGGAGTTACATAAAGCTACTGTAAGAAGGCATTACTCCCTGACACATGGCAATTTAATGTATTAACGCGGTAAGTGATTCACATGTTCATTTAGTAGTTGCTATCGGAACAGATAGCATCCAGGTATGTTCTTTGAAAGCATTTC